GATGCCCAAGCGACTAACCTCGAAGGATCGTCCGTCGTCCCATGACCCTCCACCGGAAGTCTCCAGTGGGAAGCGATGGTTCCGGAGAAGTCCAGCCACCGAAAGACACTCTGGCCCTCCAGCCCTCCGAGTCAGGGTTCGTGGCCGCACCGCGCCGCACCGCCATTGTGGACCGTCCGACATCGTGCGGGTCACTCCTGGTGTAGGCTAACTGGACCATCTGTGGGCGGTGTGGAGCCATCATGGGAGAGCCAACTGAGTGAACACAACATGTGCGGCCGATGCCTTTGAGCGCCGCATTGGTGGCCACCGGATACCGGGGTAGCACTGAGCAAAGGCTATGGGGAAAGGCCAACAACAAGAAATGTATTGTATATATATATATTATATGAATATTGTTAAACATTTTCAAAGGAAGTTTAGTGTACGAAACTTCCGTGTTACGGACATTCAAGAACTGTTCATACACCACTCATCAATACACCACTGATCAAAACACCACTCATCATACACCACTCATCATACACCACTCATCATACACCACTGATCATACACCACTGATCATACACCACTCATCAATACACCACTCATCAATACACCGCTCATCATACACCACTCATCATACACCACTCATCATACACCACTTATCATACACCACTCATCATACACCACTCATCAATACACCACTCATCATACACCACTCATCATACACCACATCATGCACCACTCATCATGCACCACTCATCATACACCACTCATCATACACCACTCAACATACACCACTCATCATACACCACTCAACGTACACCACTCATCACCCACTTAGCTCTAGTTTCAAGAGCTCTAGCTCCAGTTAGCTCAGGGCTCTAGCTCCAGGTAGCTCTAGTTTCAATAGCTCTAGCTCCGGGTATAGCTCTAGTTTCAAGAGCTCTAGCTCTAGTTTCAATAGCTCTAGCTCCAGTTTACGAGGCAGGTCCAGCACTTTGTGAACCTCCATGTGCAGATTTCGTGGCAGGCACAGCGCTTTGTGAACCTCCATGTGCAGAGTTCGTGGCACGCGCAGCGCTTTGTGAACTTTGAGGTGCAGATTTCGCACGCGTGGCAGGCGCAATACAGAATGCGTTTTCGAGAGATAGCGGGCGCACGAAATGCTGTGTTTTTCAATAGAAAGGGTGGCTCTGAAGCTTGCAAGTCTAGCTTTGCGGAATGAGATGTGCGAGACGGTCTCGGGTCATTCTCGGATGCGTCCCTCCATTGTGATTAGAGGTTTCAGTTGTTTCTTGAAGTGCAGATTTCGTGGCAGGTACAGCACTTTGTAAACCTCCATGCGCAGATTTCGTGGCAGGCGCAGCACTTTGTGAACCTGCATACGCAGATTTCCTGGCAGGCACAGCACTTTGTGAACCTCCATGTGCAGATTTCGTGGCAGGCACAGCGCTTTGTGAACCTCCATGCGCAGATTTCGTGGCAGGCGCAATACAAAATACGTTTTCGAGAGATAGCGGACGCACGAAATGCTGTGGTTTTCAATAGAAAGGGTGGCTCCGAAGCTGGCCAGTCAAGCTTTGCGGAACGATGTGTGCGAGACGGTCTCGGTTGCAGGCACAGCGCTTTGTGAACCTCCATGTGCAGATTTCGTGGCAGGCACAGCGCTTTGGTGCAGATTTCGTGGCAGGCGCAGCGCTTTGTGAACCTCTGGCAGGCACAGCGCTGTGTGAACCTCCATGTGCAGATTTCGTGGCAGGCACAGCACTGTGTGAACCTCCATGCGCAGATTTCGTGGCAGGCGCAGCGCTGTATGAACCTCGAGGTGCAGATTTCGTGGCAGGCGCAGCACTTTGTGAACCTCCATGTGCAGTTTTCGTGGCAGGCGCAGCACTTTGTGAACCTCCATGTGCAGATTTCGTGGCAGGCACAGCACTTTGTGAACCTCCATGTGCAGATTTCGCGCCAGGCGCAGCACTTTGTCAACCTCCATGTGCAGATTTCGTGGCAGGCACAGCATTTTGTGAACCTCCATGTGCAGATTTCGTGGCGCACTATCTGTGGAGCTGGAAGCTGAGAACTGGCGACTTTGTAGTACAACTTCAGTACGCGGAGTATCTGGCGAGCTGGAAGATGAGAATTGGTGACTTGCGAGTACAACTTTAGTACGTGGAGTATCTGGGGAGCTGGAAGATGAGAACTGGCGACTTTCTAGTACAACTTTAGTACGCGGAGTATCTGGGGAGCTGGAAGCTGAGAACTGGCGACGTTGTAGTGCAACTTTAGTACGCGGAGCAATCTGGGGAGCTGGAAGCTGAGAACTGGCGACTTTGTAGTACAACTTTAGTACGCGGAGCAATCTGTGGAGCTGGAAGCTGAGAACTGGCGACTTTGTAGTGCAACTTTAGTACGCGGAGTATCTGGGGAGCTGGAAGATGAGAACTGGCGACTTTGTAGTGC